TCACCACATTCTTTGTAATTGAGGAGAGACATTTTAAAGCAACAAGCTAATATAACTGATTCATGCATGCCATTAAGAACATCATTAATTTTTGTGTTATGGCGTTTCTCTTTCCTAATAGTATACAAAGTAATGGTGCATGGACATTTTATAGTCAATAGCGTTTTAGATTCAATGATTTGTAGTATATGAGTTTTGAGTATAGGTAAATAGAAAAAGACCTGGAAGAATTACACATCAGACTGTTAATAGTGATATCTGACTTTGGGATTACCAGTGATTTTTTTCCTCTTTATTGTTTATTTTTAATTTTCTACAATAGAAACATTGCTCATATAATAAAGAAAAATTAAGATTTTATAACATTTGTTTTGTTTTGTTTTTTTGAGATGGAGTCTCCCTCTGTCTCCCAGGCTGGAGTGCAGTGGAGCAATCTCAGCTCACCGCAACCTCTGCCTCCTGGGTTCAAGCAATCCTCCCATCTTAGCCTCCCAGGTAGCTGGGATTACAGACATGCACAACCACGCCTGGCTAATTTTTGTATTTTCAGTAGAAACGGGGTTTTCACATGTTGACCAGGCTGGTCTCGAACTCCTGACCTCAAGTGATCCGCTCGCCTTGGCTTCCCAAAGTACTGGGATTGCAGGCGTGAGCCACCATGCCCACTGCTATTTTTCTTTTCTTTCTTTCTTTTTTTTTTTTTAAATCAAACATACTTCAAGAGAATATCAAGGGAAAGCTGTTTCCACTTAGATCTGTTGTGGGCACTAGCTAGGTGAATGAAGTGGAGGAAATCTTTGAACAAGATCTTGGTTCTAATACTAGTTATGCTTCATATGTGTGTTCTTAAGCAAGTTATGTAATGGCCCTGTGCTTAAATTCTCCCAACTATGACATTGGGTGTATGATACTCTTTCACAGGGCTATTCTGAAACTCTTCAGGGTTTTCAAAGTTTTGTGCAACATCAGTTTCCATGGGCGTTAAATTAAGTTTCTGAGTGTGTGGTTTAGGGAAAGAAAGCAGGTACTCTAAAGGTTTAATAATAACCTTGGAAAATTCTAGGTTCAACAAATTAACCTGATTCCTCTCATAATTTCTTAGAATTTATATTTGTTACTGTGCACAATGAACTTCCAAGAAGGGCTATTGTGTGAGGAAGCATCTCTTGGAACTACTGTTTTGTGTAATGCCAAGATATAGTATTATCTGTATCTTCCTCCAGGAAGTTTCTGAAAGGTTGACTTAGTAGTAAAAATGGCATCCATTATTGTCTCCAGTCGTCCCTGCTCGTCAGCTTCCAAAATACTCTCTTTAGGTTCCAACCTTGCTTGAAACTCCATTTTAGACTTTTAAAAGTAAACTCCCTTCATCTGCCAGGAGTTAGTCCTTTGTCCTGCTTCTCTAAGGAAGGTATTCTTCTCCCACTTGCTGTTCTGTGGCACTGCTAGTGCAGCCCAGCTGTTTGCTTCATGTGGTTGTGCCCTTGAGACTTGAGCCAACATTGGAGTCCCTAGTGTTGGGCAGAGTAGTAGCTCAACAAATGTGTCCTTTCCCAGCACAGCAGTTTCAGTGGGAAAAGTGCTGGTTCTAGAACTATTTTCTTCCCCTGAGAACAGTATGTCAGTGTATTCTGAAAAGTATCTTGTTCTTGATTTAATCATACAAAGATGGCTACACAGTAATCTTAGTAAATATCAGGTGCTGTTGTACAAATGATAAACAAGACATCCCCCCCCCAAAAAAAAATAATAATAAATAAAAAAGCAAACTTTTCTAGCATTTCTTCTAGTTAGAACTATCTTCCTCTGACCTCAAATCACTTAGGTTTTAATCACTGACAGAGATGTTTGGGGAAAAGCTCTGATATATTATGGTCCTAAGAGCAGTGAGCCTGCTGTTGAGGTGGAAAGATCAATACCTCCCTCCTATGGGCTTTCATATAAATAACTCTGGCCTGGGGGTTAGAAGACAAAGTGTTCAGTCTGTGTTGCCACCAGCTCGCCATGAGATCTCATTGGGAAGAGGAGTGTCACCTGATGACCATTCCTAATTGGCGTGGTTATGGTAAACCTGTTAGTAGACTCTAGTATTTAAGTAAAGTCTAGGTGGTAGGGGTCAAGTGGTACCACCCTGAGGAAAGAGGCCTGAAGTAGGCAGGGAAGGATTGTGGTTGTGGATGACCAACTTCAACTGAAGAGGAACCAGCCATCATTTTGAGTCACATTGTCCTCAGTCACAGGGCGCTCTGCTGCCTTCACTAAGTCTTGTGTGATCCTCCTAGCCTTGTCTCAGCTCTGGGATGGGAAAGCAGGTGGGCTCTTGTTCAGGTTGCTTATGGAGAAGCAGTGAGGCAGTGGCAGTGGTAACCAAGCCAAGGCCTGGGAAATGTCAAATTTGGAGATGGTCTGCAAGTGCTTCTCAGTGAGTTAGTGGAAACTACTGGATTTTAGGCTGGATATTTTTTTTGGAGTCAGGGACTGTCCTGTAAATTGCAGTATGTTTTGCATTCCTGACTTCCTTCCTTCTGCTCAATACTTTTAGTAGCAAATCATTGTGATGACTAAGAATTGCTTCCACCTATTTCCGAAGTCTTGTATTAGAATCATTGGAAGGTATGTGGTTTAGCTGACTTCCCCATCATAAAATTCTTCACGTATTTCCACTATTTCCAGTTTTATCGAGAGGCAGCATTTCTGCACACTCCAACTACCCGGTCCCTATAGGGTCATGCCAACAGCAGCCATTACTAAACTGAGTAACATCAGTGTCACAGTAAGACTGCGTTTTCAGAATGCACTGCTGGTGAACCAGTCTAAAACTGACTGACTGGTGCAAAGGCTATGACCAAAGGAATCAGGAACCTTGGAAACTGGTTCAGCTTCTACCCTTTTACTTTTTACATTTTTTACTTGTATTTTGTATTTGAGATTTGGTTTTCTGTTCCTGCGTGCATTTACTTAGAATAATGGCCTGCAGCTGCATCAGTGTTGCTGTAAAGGACATGATTTCGTTCCTTTTTATGGCTACAGAGAATTCCATGGTGTGTACGCTCCACATTTCCTTTATCCAATCCACCGTTGACGGGCACCTAGGTTGATTCCTTGTCTTTGTTATTGTGAGTAGTGCTGTCATAAACATCTAAGTGCAGATGTCTTTTTGGAAGAACAATTTACTTTCCTTTGGGCATATACCTGGTAATGGGATTGCTGGGTCAAATGGTAATTCATTTTAACTTTTTGAGAAATCTCCAAACTGCTTTCCACAAGAACTGAACTAATTTACAGTCCTACCAACAGTGTATAAGAGTTCCCTTTTCTCACCAAGACCTGTTATTTTTTGACTTTTTAATAAAAGCCATTCTAACTGGTACCTCACTGTGGCTTTGATTTGCATTTCTTACTTTTAAGACAAATCACTTTAGATTTTTGAGCTTTGGTTAAAAGTCATCCATATACATAAAAATGAGAAACTCTCATATTCCTCGTCTCTAAGGGCCTTTCTGGATCTAAAGTTCAGTTCTTCCAAGTTCAGTTCTACAGAGTTCAATTCTACAGAGTTCAGTTCTACCAAGTTCAGTTCTACTGAGAAACGCCATCACTGACTCAAATTTGAATGTGAACATGGAACGATATAGGTAAGACCAATTATTTAGAGAGAAGAAACGGTTTTCATGCAGACAAATTTTAAAACACACAAATAAAATTCTTACCACTCAAATTTTGGTAAACATTTTATAATTTATATATAAAATCTCAGTAAGAAACCATGTAAAATGACAGAAATATCCACCTGACATTAAGAGTCAAAATAAAAATAAAAAAAAACCCATACACACTGAATGTAAATTTTAATTATAAAACAAGAATATGAACAAAACATTTAAAAATAATCTCAATTATTTGGCAACTCATCACATCATTGCAAGAGACAAATTTGATCGTAAGAAGTTTAATCTTATGAAAAACTGAAGTTGGACAGTTTGCTCATATGAGAGTTAAAACATGTTTAAAAAAACACCTGGCAATAAAGCCAGTTTCTATACTGAAACAACTGTGTATAAAACAACATAAAATCCTGAAACTGGATAGACAGGAGGGACCTAATCTTGAATGCCTTTCTCTTCACTGAAAAAGACAATATGGAAAGAGTATTGGTAGAAGCTTCAGAACAGCACAGAGCAGGGGAATGAACACCAGCAGAGAGGGTTTCTGCTGCAGGTGACTGACGCAACTTTACCTGAACCAGAACCTGTTTTATGTCAATGGGGCTGGTAGTAAAGTCACAGATGCAAGTATAATCTAAAAACGTTACATTCTTAAAAAACAGAGCCACGACTGTGAACAGAAAAGCAATGGAGAAACTTTCTTTAGCTAAACTACTTTACTTGGATACATGCGAGTTTCTGCCAGATCATATTAAGATAGTTACAGGGCAGGCAGAGTCCTAAAAAATTTTCTACTAATCACTGCATAGCATTTAAAACCCTTTTTTATTTAAAAAAAATAATAATAAAGTAAAATAAACAGATATATAGTAAAGTTCACAGATAAGTTTTCTCTGTAAAATAAATAGTGTTCATTGATTAGCATCATACATAGAGTAAAATACAACCTATTTTTACATGTTTATATACTATACACAGATTACCAGTAGGCAGCCTGGTGTCTGATGGGCTGGAGGGGTTTGCATTCATGATGTGTCACATTGGGAAATCCCAATTTTGAATGTTAAAATATACAACTACTTTGTTTTGAGTTCAGATACAAAGTAAACTTATTGTCCTTTATCTGAAATAAATGTACATAATATCTTCTATGAACAATAGTTTATAAAGCTGTTTAAAACATAACAAGAAAAAGCTTGCACCTAGGGACTTACAGCACATGCATATCTTTTTCCTGGTTAAAGAGAAGCCTATGGCCACCGAGGCATGTCTCTTTCCTCTCCACTGTGTTCCTCCATAAGCCTAGGGCAGCAGTGGTCAGGATTATCGCTTCGCTTTTTTCACAGGGGCTTCCTCCACCCTTTGCTGGCCTCTTGTTCGGGCCCCAGGAGGGCTGACTTCTCTCTTGCGCTTGATAGAAGGGGACAGCTGTGTCTTTGATCTGCATTAAGCAAAGTCAAGGCAATGGTGAGGTTTAAAAGCAGTTGCTTCAAATAACTTGGGAGTTCCTTAAAAAAATGGAAGAGTTTTGAACTTGACAGCTAAGAAAAGAAAAACCCAGTAAAATTTATACACGAAAAGGAGCTATTTCGCGAAGAGCTCGAGCTAACTGGTTCTTTGCTGTCAAACTCACACACAAACACAGGACACTGGAAGAGAAGTGTGAAGCCTGTGCTCTGGTTCCAGCTCTACCACACTCTAGGTGCTGATGGTGCTCAAGTCCACTTCCTTCTCTGGGCCCTAGTTCTTTCATCTATAAAACAAAGACATCAACAGTAGGTCCCACCAATATAGAAACTGTTCTAAGTTCAAACAATTAGCAAGAACACAGCAGGATTTCAACCTAGGTTGGACCAAGTGCAAAATCATACTTCGTAGCACAGGATTACAGAAAATAGCTGTGTTAAAAAAGCCACAGGAATTTCAGAAGAACATTCTAACCAATCTCCCTGTAACCAGCATACCCTGTTGATACAGTCTGTGATTAAAATTATTTGTTGGAAACTCCAATTAATCATGTTACTGTCCAGGAGATGTATGAAGTAGTTCCTCTTGGGTCTCCGATGCTTTCAGGAGAAAATCATCCAGAGCATAGAACACAGAGCCTTTTTTTTTTTTTTTTTTTTTTTTTTTGAGACAGAGTCTCACTCTGTTGCCCAGGCTGGAGTGCAGTGGCCGGATCTCAGCTCACTGCAAGCTCCGCCTCCCGGGTTTATGCCATTCTCCCACCTCAGCCTCCCGAGTAGCTGGGACTACAGGCGCCTGCCACCTCGCCCGGCTGGTTTTTTGTATTTTTTAGCAGAGACGGGGTTTCACCATGTTAGCCAGGATGGTCTAGATCTCCTGACCTTGTGATCCACCCGTCTCGGCCTCCCACACAGAGCCTTTTATAATTCTGCCTTCTACTTGTGCACCATCTGGGACTGTAGTCCTGCACCTTCCACATCACAGAGCAAGATGCCCTATCTTTGGAATCCCCCACAGAGAAATGCGACTTTATTGACATGAAGACTTTAGGTCTTTACCACAGCATTTATCATTGTAATTTATCTGCTGTGTTTCTACAAGTTACAATCAATATTTTGTAACTACAAGTTACAATCAATATTTTAAAACAAGATATTAATAGGACACAACAGAAAATACCACTTGTATCACATCTACTAAATTTGACTCATGAAAATTTTGTTTCAGTTACAGTAGCAGGAATGTGAGCACCAGCTGTATTGCAAAACATTCTGATAGTGGGTTGTTGCCAAAAAAGTTTGAAAGTCTTATATATATATATCTCTCCCATTAGACCCAATGATTTTCTAGGGCAGCTGCTGAGATTTATTCATTTTTCTAACTCCAGTGCCTACAGAAATGCCCAAAACATGGCAAGCAGGCAGTAAATGTCCTGTCAATGAATAAAAGGCTTGGAAAACCAAAATTGCAAGAGACGGAGAAACGGGACTCTACTGATATGAAGACACGTCTTTCATTTATTGTTTGACAGCAAAAGTAAATAAACTCAAATTGAGTCAAAAATTGTTGCAGATGATGTGGTTCTGGCATGTGTTGACAATGACTGAAAATGTGTTTGTTGATAATCCATTTCAAACCGTTTCCATGGAAAGCCACCAGCCACTCAATGAACACCTCTTCAGTAAAGGTGCCGTGCGCAGCATTGTGCTGGGGGCCAAATGGCAGCTAACAGAAGCTCTGAGTCAGGCTGCTTCTCCCCAGCCATGTGAGCTTCGTAGCTTATCCAGGCCCTTCCAGTTCACCCAGAATGTGGTCTGTGACCAGGGGCACTGGTCACTGAGGAGCTTGTTGGAAATGCCAACTCACAGGCCCCACCCTAGACTTACAGACCCTAGATCTGCATTTTACAAAGAGCCTCAAGTGATTCGACTGCATGTTCAATTTTGAGTAGTATGCATGCAAACCTTCCTGAGATTCTGTCCCTCACATATAAAATAGAAGTAACTGTTACAATTCACTCAATGAGAGTTAAATGAGAGCATATTTGTGAAAGTGCCTAGCGCTATAGTTTGCTTTCGTTTCTAGAACGTGGGGAAAACAGCACATACGTGCAAGTATGCTGTGAAGATGAAAATGTGGTAAGAGGTCAAAACGGTTTTTGTGTACAGTGAAGAGTCTTTTACTTTGGAATATGATAATGTATAGAAAATATGACAAGTTCCTATCTGAAGAAAGAAAGCTAGAGCTCAGAGGGGTAAATAAAAGGAATATACCAAACCAATGCTATGTGGCATCTCAAGTGCCCAGTACTGACCAGAAGCGCAGCAAGAAGAAGAGATGAAAACAGGCTGAAGCAGGATGGAAAGGATCTGACTTACTGGAGGTGCTGGTGCACTCCTCACTAGCTCAAGCAAAGGCAAGAAAGGCAGGCTTAGGACCACCTGTGGGAGGCAGTAAGACTAGTAAGGCTGCAGTGAAAGGTGTAAGCTGGCAGGGGCTGTGCCTGAAAGAGGAAGCTTTATCACCTCATCACCTCTCCAATGCTCTACCTAGCACAGAACTGGTTCTGGGCTGTTATCTGCTTTACCACACTGCCTTGCCTTTGGTCTTGGCGGATGGGAGAAGGCAGATAAGGCTCATAGGTGTCAAGGGCAAGCCTGTGTGGCAATCCACTGCGGCAAGGCCAGACTGGCGGGGCCACAGAGACACCTTCTGCAGCCCTTCCCATTCTTCTTGGAAACCAATGATCCCCAAAAACAGTTATTTGGTGAGACAAAATCTTAAAGGAAATTAGGAAGAAAGCATTATTGCACCAAAAATAGTCTTAGGGGGTTAAAAATTACTTGAAGTGTAAGCAGGGACTTACCTTCCTAATGGGGGAGAGTTACTAACTTTTTCGCTGGTAGGTAACTTCTCTTTTGCTAATTTGTGGCGATTTCTAGGAGAAACTGTGTCTGGGCTGCCAAGTTTGGATGTTGCACGTGCAGATGGCTTGCTATGTTGCTTTCTGAAACAGATTATAGAAACACTGGGCAATGGTAGCACTGAATACTCCAGTCCCTGGAACTATTTAGGAAGTATGAGGCTCCTTGTGGGCAAGTCAGAACAATAGGAACTCAAATCAGAAAAATGGTTGGTTTTGCTGACCACTGCTGATAAGTCGATCTTAATGTCATCTACAACTACCTCTGCTTGTGTGACACTATCTTTGCTCTTACTGTGCGTGGTATTTTATTGTGATTTAGAAAAGAGATGTATCTGTGAAAAATAGAAAATATACTGGCTGACAAAATAAAGATTACAAAAGAGCTCATCAGGGTAGAATAAAGGGCCAAGATTAATGACAGTACAATTCACGAAGCTAAGTGTTAAGGCCCAAGTAGTCAATTGCACAAGAATTTGATAAGGAATTCTGATTAACCAGTAAAAACTCTGAAAAAGGAACTTGTTTAACTGGTGTGTTTTTCAATTTGAGGCTCAGTAATGAGGATGCACACTGAAGAAAAATATCCAGAAAATAAGGTAAAACAGTCCTCTTCTGGATTCATTAGACCACACTTGGTATACAGAGTTTGCTTCTTTCTCTTTCCTTCCTTTCCCTTCCTTCCTTTCCTTCCTTTTTCTTTCCTTTCCTTTCTCTCTTTCTTTCTTTTGAGAAAGAGCCTCGCTCTGTCACCCAGGCTGGAGTGCAGTGCTACAATCTCTTTTCACTGCAACATCCACCTCCCGGGTTCAAGCAATTCTCCTGCCTTAGCTTCCCAAGTAGCTGGGATTATAGGAGTCTGCCATGACGCTCGGCTATTTTTTGTTCTTTTAGATGAGGTTTCACCATGTTGGCCAGGCTGGTCTTGAACTCCTGGCCTCAAGTGATCCACCAGCCTTGGACTCCCCAACTGCTGGGATTACAGGTGTGAGCCACAGTGCGTGGCCTCTTTTATTTTTTATTAATTTTTTTTTTTTTTTTAAAGACACAGCGTCTTGTTATGTTGCTTAGGCTGGTCTCGAACTCCCAGCCTCAAGCAGTCTTCCTGCCTCAGCCTCCTGAGTAACTGGGATTACAGGCATGAGCCACTGCGCCCAGCTGCATATTTGCGTCTAAAAGAGGATAAAGGTCATTGAGGAGCACAAACAGGGATGATGAAAGGGCTCAAGAAGCAAGCAGAGAAGACCTGGAAGCTGCCCTCAAATATGTAAGGGAAAATTAGACAGAAGGTTCTGAAAGTAGAACTAGAATCAAGAGTAGAAGCCATAGGGAGGCCGGCTTCTACTGAACACAAGTCAGAGAATGCTGAGGAGGATGTGGCCACTGAGGTCCATGCAAAAGCAGGAAGACCCTTTCAGAGGAGATGCAGGTGCAGTGACTCAGGCATGACTGGCTAGTGGTACTACATGATCACTAAGAGCCCACCCAACCCAGACAATTTGTGAAATTATGAAAACATCAGAGCCCTGGGACTGATCAACCAATGCCAAGGAATCCAAACTAGAGAGAAAAGAACTCATTTGTAAATCAAAAGTTTATATTATAAAGTGCATGAAGAAGAACTTTAATAATCCAAGTGATTACAGAATCAGATACATCAAATAAGATTTTTAAAGAATTTATAAAAGGCAAATCGGAGAGCAATTTCTAGACACTCACTAGACGGCTAGAAGGCCTATGGAACGTTCTCTGAGTGGAGCCCTACTTTCCACAACGGTTTTAGAGGGAAGCAGTAATTCTGGTGGGATGGATGCTATACCCAAATGCATGGGTTTTGGGCTCCAGCACCCTCACCCTCTCCTAGCAGCAGCAATTTGGATTCTGTGACTTCTTTTCTATTTATCTGAGTTGCTCCACCTAAAAAAACAAATATGAGACCACCTTATAACTTTCGCCGTGTGAGCTTCTAGAATCCTTTGGCTCTAAAATCTGATTCTTTGAGAAATCAAACCATGGCACAAATGGCTAATAATGTGTTAAGTTTGGAGGAATTAGAAACAAGTTGATTTTAAGTTTTTTTTTGAGATGGAGTCTCACTCTGTCACCCAGGCTGGAGTGCAATGGCGTGATCTCGGCTTACTGCAACCTCCGCCTCCCGAGTTCAACTGATTCTCCTGCCTCAGCCTCCCGAGTAGCTGGGATTACAGGCACATGCCACCACGCCTGGCTGATTTTTTATATGTTTAGTAGAGACAGGGTTTTACCATATTGACCAGGCTGGTCTCGAACTCCTGACCTCATGATCCGCTGGCCTCAGCCTCCCAAAGTGCTGGGATTACAGGTGTAAGCCACTGCACCCAGCCCTGATTTTAAGTCTTTATGTAAACACAAGATACTATCATATTATGGTGTTAAGTGTTATTTTTGAAATAAATCTTCCTGAACTTTTTGATCTTGAATAATGAAATTAAATAAGATGATACCAAGATTAACACCTTATAAATCACATTAATTAAAAATTTAAAAAATATACATTTTTTCAGAGACAGAGTCTCACTGTCACCCAGGCTACAGTGCAGTGGTGTGATCACAGCTCACTGCAGCCTCAACCTCCTGGGCTCAAGCGATCCTCCCATTTCAGCCTCCCAAGCAGCTGGGACTACAGGCTCATGCCACCACGCCCAGCTAATTTTCAAGATTTTTTTTGTAGAGATGGGGTCTCCCTGTGTTGCCCAGGCTGGTCTCAAACTCCTGGGCTCAAGTGATTCTCCCATCTTCGTCTCCCAGAGTGTTGGGATTACAAGCATGAGCTACTATGCTCAGCCTGGAAAATATTCATGTTTGGGAAAATTATTAACGGTTAGGATGAGACTACACAGTTATGTACCATTTCTCAAATGTGCCATGGGAAAAGGAATACTGGATGAACAGTTATAATGATATAGGCCAACAACAGAAAAGGGGTATCAGCAAATAATGCTTGTTTAAACAAAGTTCAACCGGCTTCTTTCCTTTAGGAGTTTGCCAAACCCTTTTTTTTTTTGAGATGGAGTCTCGCTGTATCACCAGGCTGGAGTGCAGTGGAGCCATCTCGGCTCATGGCAACCTCCGCCTCCCACGTTTAAGCGATTCCCCTGCCTCAGCCTCCCGAGTAGCTGGGACTACAGGCGCGAGCCACCATGCCTGGCTAATTTTTTGCATTTTAGTACAGACAGGGTTTCACTGTGTTGGCCAGGATGGTCTCGATCTCCTGACCTCATGATTCACCCACCCTGGCCTCCCAAAGTGCTGGGATTACAGGCGTGAGCCACCGCGCCGAGCCCTGGAGTTTGCCAAACCCTCAATGTTTTAATGAACATGTAACTGAGAAGGAGAGAGAATTCACTGTCATTCCCAAACTCATCTGACCATGGTACTCTTTTTCTTAGAGGTTTCTGGCTACGATAGGGCTTGAGAGAACACATTTTGGGAAATATATGAAATTATGTACCTCAAAATTGGTCAAATTTGGGCACTTTCCTATGATCAACCTATTGCATAGCACTGGTGAGATGCATGTGATGACGGCGGTGCATGGGCCTGGTTCCTCCTGCTTTCTGGGTTGAAATAAGTATGCTGAGAGCAGGGATGATGTTTTATG